TTTTTACTAGGTTATACAATTATATGAACATATAAATCGCTATATCAAACTTATGAACTATTTTTTTCATTGAACCGAAGGGTTCGTTCTGATTGTATTATTTTTCAAAAATAATATGTGGCGATTAATTTTTTTTTTTCACTCAATTAATTCAATTAATTCAAATTGCAATTGATTGATTTTTTTCTTTTCGCAAAGGTTGACAAGGTTGACTCGATTAATTCAGACATATCAATTATTTGAGATTGATAATTTATTTAACTTAGGCTAAAAACCGTGATTTCCGCCAGAATTAAGAATTAGTTATTTTAATCCAAATATGCAAAGTTATCAAGTGACATTGTACACGTGGTGCGCTCGTAAAATATTTATTTATTTAAATAACTAGGTAACGGTGACCGTTAAACGTCCGAAACAGGCGTCACGCTGCATGTTTTTCTAAAGTGAAATCTTATTGGTGTTATATTTTGCAACGATTTATAAACATCACGAGCATAACGTCTTTCACGTTGATTATGAGTTTCATTTTCTCTAATTTTGCGTTTTCTAAGTGTTTCAGGATGAATAAATACAGGCTGACTATCCATTTTATATTTTTAATTTATTATTTGAAGATTTTAATAAATTACACAAGATATAAGTCATTTATTATATTGTTTCGTTATAATTAATGAATCTTAAATTACATGAAGAAATAATTTAAAAACAACTAAATTTATTATATACATCTTATGAAGGTTATACTAAAGTTTAACAGAGTCTAATTTTGATAGTATCGAAATTATTTTTTTACTTTTATTTTTAAAATGTAGAAAAAGACGGGGATCATACGGGTTTGTGGGCCGAGAATAAGTATCGAAATTAATAAGCTAATATTATAAAAAGTATTAAAGTTGTTATATATAATCACGTGTATATACAGTAAGTCACGTGTGGGACAGTGCGAAAGTCCTCCGCTCCGCTTCGGACAATAGAAAATAAATTTAATTGAATAGTAATCGCATAAAAAAATTCGGTAATGAAATATTTTTATAACTGTCTGTAAGTACAAACTGGATAGAAAGGTAAAAAAAAAAAAACAATTTTATTTTTCCTTTAAAAAATTTTTCTAAAATAATTGTCATTTACAATTGTCATTTTTAGAAAAAATTTATAAATTCGCATGTAGTGAAACAATTGAATTTTCTCCTGAATCTCCTGAATCCCGATTAAGTTTAAAAAATTTTTTAAATCCATTTTCATGTATTTATTTGTTATTTTTTTTTAATCGATCTAAATTTGGATAACAAAATATGTGAGTGTCGCCATGGTGTCGCAGCGGTGTCGCAGTGGTGTCGCCTAGATATTTTTATGATTTTTCATGATTTTTTAATTTAAAGATTCATTATGAAATAATCCTACTACTAAGAACTACCACTTCCTTTCCTTCTGTTAATTTTCGTACTAGGTATAATGAGGTATAATGATATAATCACATCCATAATTCCAAAAATTAAATAATCTCGAAAATCCACAATCTCAAAATAATTATCCTGACAGTTTATTATTTATTAGTATAAAATTATTATTATATATGATAAATAGTTCAGTATCAAGTTTATGCACGACTGCACGTAATATTATTTTTATTATAATAATCTCCTTATAATGTCCTCAATTGAAAGTAACAAATATAGTTAATTATATATACTATGAGTAAACAATTATAAAGATTGTATGCAATAAAGATTGTATACAAATAAATCCCTTAATAAAAAAATTGTTATTGGTTTTATAACCAAAATTAGATAATAAAGTTTTTTAATATCGGAATCGAAATTGGGACGGATTGATAATTTTTTTGGGCAAAGTTAAACTAATAATATCGTACTCAATACCCGTGAAAATTATTCAATTTTCATGTGTAATTTAGGATTCAATTAATTCGGATATATCCGATTTTTTATTTTTAGACAAGAATAATTCGGACATATCCGGTATCTTAGATAGAAGGAGACGACGCACAACCTAGTCACGTTGCATATCCTTATTAATTTTGACTAAAATTATAATTATTGACCTGATTATTGTAATTTTGGCCAGAATTAGGATTTCTGGCCGGATATTTTGGATATTATTTGATGTGTTACACTGTTACACTTGCCAATCGACATTGCACATGTGGTTCATGGTAAATCATTTTTAGTTATTTTCTCGTAAAATAATAGAATATATTTGTTTAAATAATAAAATATATTAGAAAATCAATTTTAATTTGAAATATTTAATTGGTATATAAAAAAAAAAAAAATTTCGGAAAAATTTTTTGTTAAATGAAATTGAAATTAAATGAAATTCTTTTTTAATAAAAAGCTGTAAAAGGTAATAATAATAATAATAATAATAAGGTAATATAATAAGGAATTATTTTTCCCTAAAAAAAAAAAAATTAATTTACATGTAGTGATAAATTTTTTACATGTAGTGAAACAATTTGAATTTTTTCACCCGATTAAGTTTAAAAAACATTTTATTTACTCCGATATTAATTTTCCATATATTTATTTGTTTTCTTTTTTTATCGATCAAAATTTGGATAACAAAAAAAATATGTGGTGTCTCCTTAAGGATATTATTTATTTTTTTTTTTTTTTTTATGAAAAAAGATTTTCATGATGCAATTTTTTAAGGGGATCTACTACTCAAAAAATCTCAAAATGACATAATCCCCTCAATCCATTAATTCCAAAAATCCATAATCCCGAAAATTAACTCAATCCTGATATTTTTTAATATTCCAAAAATTATTTATCCGAAATTATTGTTGCATATGATATTATGTAATGAAAATCGTTCAGTATTTAAGTTTACGTAATCTTAATTAAAATTCTTATAATGTCCATAATGACTCGCAATCTTTTTTTAGTTTATAAAAAAATAACAGACAAATATATTATTTTTATTACAAAGAAAGGTTGTGTCAAATAATCCGATAATAATATGTTAATAATTTTGTTTTTTCCACAAAATAATAATAACTTTTTATATCGAGATTCTATAATGAGGAATAATAAAATTTTGAGATTGTAAACTTTTTTTTGGGATAGTGAATTTCAGAATTATGAATGTCGGGATTATATTGTAGATTATATTGTACAGTTTTCTTACGGTTTCTTAGTTTTCTTGCAGTTTTCTTGCAGTTTTCTTATTGAGGATTTTAACCCCCCACATTAAGGGTTCGAATTTTTGACGGATAAATAATTTATTGACTGATCATTGAGTTAAACAAATGTTATTTAACAACACAAATTTCATGGTGTAATTTAGGAATTCGATTAATTCGGTTATATCCGATGAAAATTTAACGATAGAAAAAAAAGGAGTATTGAATATTGAGATGCATAACCGTAAATCATGTGTTATGTCACTTTTGTTACTTTAGCGGATAATTCTTAATTCTGACTAAAATTAACCTTATTTTTAGATTTCGGCCAAAAATCAAAATTTGGTTAAGAATCCAGATTATAATCTGGAATATCGGGAGTTACACTGACATTACACACGTGGCTTATTATTGTTTATATTACAACACCAAGATCTACGTTTTTCTATCCTTCAAAACAAAAAGGTACGTCATTATTAGATATTTTTTCTCACAGGTTCATTATAATTTAGAGTTTCGATTAAAATCGATTAATTTCAAATTTCAAGTTTTTTATTCAAATTAAAAATCGGACATATCACGATTAATTTTAGCGTTTTTTTTTTTTATAGTTTCGAGTTTATCTATCAAGTCAAAGTAAGAATCCAGATTATGATCCGGATATTCCGGATATGCTAATCAAAGTATCTATCTGAATGATATCTCATGATTCGGAATATCGGATCGAATCGTTAAAAATTTTTCAAGTATTTGTACAAGTTAAACTTGAAACTATTTATAATTAATTTTTCATTTTTTTCTCATACAAAAAAAAAAACTTTTTTTTATGATATTTATGATATTTATGATATTTTTATGATATTTTTATGATATTTTTATGATATTTTTATGATATGATACTTTTTGTAAATAACGCCTCGAATTATGATATTTTATGATATGATGCTTTTTGTAAATAACGCCTCGAACATTTTATTGGTGACATCACATTATCTCCATGTTTTGGTCATATTTTGGTCATGTTTGGCGTTATAAAATCAAATTTCATAAGTTAATTTGGGCTAGAAAATATTTGAAACGTTTAAGAAAAAAAAAAAAAAAAATTTTAAGGTTAGATGATTTTATTGTTTAAAGTTTCGATAAATTTAGGATTTAAGATTATTTAAGTTATAGGGGTTGATGTAACAGGTTCAGACTTTCAGACTTTCAGTGTCTAACTTCAAACTAATCTCAAATAGTTTAGTCCATTCCCTCAAATAGGGAGCTCAGACCCACTGGGGCTGTTACGCTCTTTTTTGTCGTCATCACGTCTTTCCATATTTCATTTAATTATTCTGAATATTTTTTTTCGCGGGTGCATATAAAAATAGTTTAACAAGTTTTTTTTAAAAAAAAAAACCTTATTTTTATTCAAAGTAATATTTACTTTCCGAAATATATACTTTTTGGTATACTATTTTCCGACAATAAAAAAATAAATCATTACCTTTTGGCGTATTTAAAAGAAAATCTTTTTTAACGATAAACCTTTCTAGCAATAAAATAGCATTTTACTCATTTTACTGCATGAAAATGATCACAAAAAAAAAAAAAAAAATAATAAAAAAAATCTGGTTTAATAAAAGGAAATTCATTATAAAGTAAATCTTAAGTAATCTTAAGTTTTACAATCAAAATGTATACATAAACCTTTTCTTGAAGAAAAAAAAAAAATATGTCATCATCTAATCATCAAACAAATTCAAATTAGGAATGTTTGATAATGGTATATAATTACTATTTTGATCATTTGATTTATTTTTTCTTTTTTTTTGTTTCTTTTAACAAAGAAGAGAAGTGGGACGAATAGTTTGTAGATCGTACCTTAATTTTCGTCTTTCAATAAATTATGTCAAAAATGTCTTTTCTCTGTGAAACGTTTTGTAATATAATAATAAATTTACACAGCCTTCTTTTCTTTACAGTATCTTCTTTACAGTATATTTCTTTTACAGTATCTTCTTTTACAGTATTTTTCTTTTACAGTATATTCTTTTACGGTATTTTTCTTTTATAGTATCTTTCTTTTATAGTATATTCTTTTACAGTATATTCTTTTACAGTATATTTCTTTTACAGTATATTCTTTTACAGTATAAGGAAAAGAGATCTTTTTTTTTTATTAATGAAAAAAAAAATAATTTTTTTTTTTTTTTTTTTTTTT